CACACACACACACACACACACACACACACTGCTGCAGCAGCCAACCACTGTTCTGTGTTTCTCGTACAGGCACTGGAGAAGGGGATGTTGAAGATGCTGAGAAACTGCTACAGCCATATCTTAAAAAATACCCCACGGTTTGTCAGAAGTTTTTTTATTTATTTACCACATGATTTGAAGTTTCATGTTTCTCAACTCATTGTTGACTGTCTTTCTCACAGGGATCCATCTTCTTGTTCTTCGCTGGTCGAATAGAAGAGATCAAGGGGAACCTGGATGCTGTGAGTCCACCAACACATACACACAAATCACCGCCATCATGAATCGTCATTTTCTTCTTTTAATTTGAAATTGAAAGCAGGGTTCAGTTCACCATGTTTCACGTGTTTCCAGGCTATCAATCGTTTCCAGGACTGCTGTGAGGCTCAGCAGCAGTGGAAGCAGTTTCACCACATGTGCTACTGGGAGCTGATGTGGTGCTACACGTACAAGAGAAACTGGAAGATGGCTTACTTCTACGCTGACCTGCTCAGCAAGGAGAACTCGTGGTCTAAGGTGGGCGGTCGTAGATGTTCAGGCTAATGCTGAGTTCGTCATTTCTAATTGTTTTTTTGTTTTGTCAGCCTTTCACAAAATAAGAGCATCAACCTGATTTTCAGCTCGGATTTAAGATAAACTTCATTGTCAAGAAGGACGTTTGTCTTGGTCCTTGCAGTATCTGCTGTTGAAAAGCAGTAACATGGTCACATACACAGAAAATAACAGAAATGTTGTAGACCTCTCTCAGCTCATTTAGAATCGTCATCTGGCAAAAGTCCTGAGCCTGTCACTCAGACATTTGCGTTCTCACATCCAGGCCCTCTGAACATTATTTGGAGTTCACTGCATACCTGAGAGCAGCTATACACATCCAGCTTGGCCCCTTCTTCCTGTTTAAATGAGTGTTAATGATAAATATATTATATTTGATGCTTTTCAGACACACACAAACCTCAGTCAGCAGCTTTTAGTGGCTGAAAATAAAACACATCATGAAACTCATAACTGAGAGTGAATTTGAGTTCTGGCTCTGACTCTGAATTCCACACAGTTGTAATTTTATTTGTCTTTGTTTATTTCATCTGGAAAAGGAAATAGTTGCAGTTGTAATCACTTTTTCCACTCCTCAGGCTACCTATGCATATATGAAAGCAGCCTACCTTAGCATGCTGTCGAAGGATGATTGTCTAACCTTCGGGGAGACTGCGTTCACTCTGTTCAGGTACGAACTATGAGCTAAGACACACCTGAAACTAGTCACAGTATCCACAGGCAAACAGAGATGATTCATTGTGGCAGTTAAATTTCTCTAATGTCAACATCACGTCTTGTGGGAAGGGAATGGTGTTTTGCGAGGTTCATATAAAAACATCTATTTTGTATGAAGGAAATAATCTAACAGTTGATTTTCACATGTCTTCTGCTGGTGCCAAGCTACACAAATGTTTTTATTGATGGTGAACACAATTGCTCTAGTAATTCAGAATTTGACGATTTAAAGTGACAATGCAAACAGACATTATGTGTCACGTGTTATCTCTTTATTACAGTTGGTCATGTGCATGAATTTTATTTTATATTCTATTATTTTTCAGGCAAGTTCCAGAACTAAAGCAGAAGATAGCTGGCAAGTCTTTACCAACGGAGAAGTTTGCGATCAGGAAAGCCCGTCGCTACCTCGTAGATAACCCCATTCCTCTTCCTGCCTCTCCATTGGTCAGTACTGGGTGATGCCTGCTTTAAAATTACAATTTTAAAAAGACAAAAAAGTTTATACATGGCAATGGACTATGTTTATATAGTTTTCGAAGTCTTCACCTGCTTCTACGCAAAGCGCTTTTCCTATTATGCACCATTTACACATGGATGGTACAGCTGTCAGTAGCATTCTGGGATTCAGCATGTGGACTGGAGAGCCGGTGATCCAACCACCATCGTTTTATTTAGTGGAACGACACACTGTACCTGCTGACCCACAGCTGCCTGTGTGTTTTGTTCTCACATTTGGGAGATTATGTAGTTTTGTTTCATGCAGACTTTGCCCTATAAGCTATGCAGTCCTCCCAATTAACCTGGTGGTTGACCAACCAGAACAGACCTACCAACCTCTCATGGATCAGGTAGCAGATGCTGTGCTTGTACTATTTGTTTTGTAACAGATGTTGACGGAGAACTAATGCTCATTGACTTTATTGGGACATTTCACAACTCTGGAATCTAGCTGGGGTGGAAAGATTGACTTTTTTCTGTGTAAGACCCACAGTATGTCCCCTGGGCCCATGTGCTGAGAGGTGCAGCCTTCTGACCTTATCATTCTGCCACAGCTGGAGTGGCTGACATTGTGCCCAATAGGTAAAAGTACTGTGGACATTTATATAAAACCAAGGTCACATAAAATATTATAAAATTATTAAAATAGATAAGATCAGAACTAGGAGAAAACACACTTATAAGATGTCAGAGAGATTTTAAAGAGAATAAGGAGTTTGCGGATCTCCTCAGGGAGATTGTTCCACAGAGTGTGAGCCCTGACAGAAAAGGCCCAATCACCTCTGGTCCTCAGCCAGAACTGTGGAATGGCTTTTTTCTATGGACCTCATGTTACAACAGCTCTAAAGTGAACATAGGTGCGAGGCCAGATCAGGCCTTAAAAGTCAGCAATAAAATCTTTCAATTCAATTCTAAAATGTACTGGATTTCGTGCACTTGTGTGTCGTGTAGGAGATGATGTACATATGGAACGGCTACACAGTCATTGGAAAACACAAGGACCTGACGGAGGGCATGCTGAAAACACTGGATGAGGCACAAGCTCAACTCGAGAGCAGCCAAAGTATGCAAAATGATTTACTACAGTCTGAAAGATCTTTCTTATAGATTCAAATCTCATTGTCATTTATCCTTTTCACTTATTTACTGCTAATATGCTATGGTGGATTCCATTTATTGTAGCTATATGATTGATACTGTATGATGAGGATGTTTTGTTTTTTTCCACAACTGTTGTTATCTCCTCACTGTCCTGTTGTGTGTTTGTCAGGGAGTGAGTTCTCCATGGACGATCAGTGTCTGCTGAGCCTACTGAGGGGCTTGTGTCTCAAACACCTGGGGCACCAGGAGGAGGCCGAACACTACTTTACCCTGGTCCTTTGCAAGTATGCCTCTCTGAGTTTCATACACAGACATGTACAGACAATTTATAGAAACATAATCCAACCAGAAACACATATGCTCCAGTTTCTTGTAACATGTAATTTTCAATTAGCCTGATCAGTGCATCCTCTGATCAATAAAAGTTCTGTTTTGATAAATGTGCAGCACAGGAGATGAATTGCTCACCCTGATTTTATGAGCCACACATAATGTAACCACTGAGTTTTGACATTATTTGCAGTGAGACTCAGATCAAATATGACCACTACCTGGTTCCCAATGCCCTGCTGGAGCATGGCCTGCTGTGTCTGGAGCAAGGCAGAACAGATGAAGCAATCAAACTGCTAGAAGCAGCAAAGTAAGTCTTTTAAACACCATTCAAACATAATTAAGTCATCTGCATTCATATTTTTCACACAGTTAAACATGCCACACCCAATCCTGTTTCTGGTTTAGTCTTACAGTGTCTCTTTATTTCTTACTACACATGTCAATGACTCCTCTTGATCTGTTTCAGGCAAAATTACAAAAACTACTCGATGGAATCTCGGACACACTTCCGTATTCAGGCTGCTCTGCACAAGGCCAAGGGCGCCGCGGAAAATTGCATCCAAGTTCCCTCCAGCCCATAACAGACAGAGGAGGGCACACAAGAGCAAAGGCAGCTCTCTGTCTCTGCAGTCCCACAATGCAACACTCACCCCTGCCCATCCAGGCAGGCTATTTGTGTTTTTCATCAGGAGGACATGCTTATGTTTTCTTGTGTGTGCCACCCACTCGGGCGACTGCAGCTCTGTGTGGCCCTGACAGGCTTAGCCGGGTTTGATGTGCTCTCTTCCAGAGCTTCATATATTATGATGAATCTCATTTCCTCGTGTAATTTGAAATAGAAACAAGTTGAGAAATGTGCCTATATTTAAGAAACATTGCTTCCAGCAGGCTTATTTGTCCAGCAACGTGATCAACCATCAGGGGCGCTCTAGGGTAGAAAACAAGGCTGTATTTGTGTAGTACCTGCTGCAGAAGGCCTCCACTCTTACCCCTGGATAAGAATGTGCCAAATTCAGGGTTGTTGGTGTGAACCTGATGGAGCCAGATTAACAGACAGCCCGTTTTAAATTACTGAGACTATCTCCACCTGGACAGCCACACCATTTGGCTGCTACAAAGCAATCCTACTTCTTTTTATTTAATGTAAATGAGTGATTATTGATGAATTGACCTGATTAGATGGGAGATGACACAGCATAATGTGTATTATGTTACTCACCATGTATTCAATGAAAACTACAAGACTATTTTATATGTATCATTTGATAAAGGTTTGATGTCAGGGTTCAGATATTTGATAACCTTCATTAACACTCCATTATCTTTGGTTCTTTGTGTTTCTCACAGCAAATTGACATTTGATTGTTTATTCCAAGTTTTCTTGCTTTTCTTGAAACCAACTTAAACACTTAAAGACGAAAAAGAAAATATTAATGTGGGATTCTTTCTTTTAGTCTCCTTTTGAAGATTTGATCAACTCTACAATCCTGTTGTATTTACAGTCACCTGTAATGTTTTTTGCAAAAAGCTTTGTAAATCAGCAGGCTGTGCAATCTCTCCATAGTCGTAACAAAATGCCTATCAGACTTGAAGAGGAGAGTTGTTATTGACATTTATATGCTGTATATGGCATCGTTTACACAAATTGTCCTGTTTTAAGAGGACAGATGAATGTGTCTTTTAGAAAGGCAGACTCCCTCCTTTTCTCCTCCTGGTGTGTGGGACAGATTCCAACAGCACTTGAGTTCGAACAAACGGGCCATTCACACCGAGCTGTGAAGGACTGCGTGCTTATCTGCCTGTAGCGTCCCTTCAGTGGGTGAAGAAGCTCTGAATGGCAATGACCACAGTCGTCCTGCTTTGTAAACCCCCTCCGCTGCTCATGTATCTGCCATGCTCGGCCAGAACCACCGATTGAAAGACTTGAACATCATAACCACAGTCCTCTGTCAAATAATAATAATAATAATGATAATAATAATCTGTATAAGAACAAGTACTTGTAATGATGGAAATGATAAAACAAAGACAGATGACCTCTGAATGTACTGGTGGTGAGGTTATTTGAAGGGCAAGAAAAAGAAACCCATGAAACTCCATGTCTCAAGTGCTGGAATTAGAGCAGCTCTGACTTATTCATGATCAGAGCAACGTTTGGGATTCAAGACAATGACTGGGAGTCAGTTTCAATATTTTTAGTGGTGGAGGAAATATATTCTTATAACTGTTTTAACAGCCGTCGCTCTCTGTAATATTCAAATAACATTGTATTTTCTATGAATTAATCAGGCTTGTTTGTCCTTTTCCTCTCTTTGGTTTTACTCCTGTTGCCGAAAGAAATGTACAAAGTTTAGAGGCAAAAAAGAAGCTGAAAATCAGAATAATCCACTGGACTCAGTTACCACTGAGCAGAATGACATTCCTGTACATACTGAGTGTTTCTATTGTAATTTAACATGAAATGTTGGCAAGTAACTAAAGAACACATCCCACTCTGAGTGCTCAGTTGTGTTTTGGGTCATGTGTGCACCACAAAGAAAAACACAGTGTGCAAGATTTATATCTCAAATGTACAGATCAAGCGGGGCAGTGCCTGCATGAACCTGCAGAACCTCTGTGATCTGAGTCATAGGAAAGGAAGTCAGCTCATCATGATGACATGCAAGGCGACGGCAGCCAGAAAGAGGAAACATAGAGAAGTGAGCACATCGTGATAAATTCACCGGCAAGAGAAAGAGTCGCTGATCGTGCTGCGTGTTTCAAAATGACAAATAACGAGTCGAACTTGCAAATAAAGCCTCGGATTCATCGATTTGAACTCTGTGTTTATGTTTTCAGCGAAGGGCAATGTGATCGCGAATCCGATTGGCTGCGGCCGAGAGGTTCTCTGACGTAATGAGAGCCGATTGGTGCAGTCGTCTGACAGGGGCGGCGCTTCGTGTGGCTACGTCACCACCTTTTGTCGTTGTCGGGCAGCAGCTGCGAGCTGGAAAGTGTCTGACAGCTTCGGAGACCTCCGCCGCTCAGCTTTGTCCAAACAGACACACGGACATTCTCTGCGCTCCGCTGCCTCCGCGGGTGTGAACTTCCCCGAGGTTGCTTCACTCGTTGTTTTTTGTATTTTTCTTTTTAAGCTAACTGAGAGCCCGATGCTCCCCTGCCAGTGCTAGCTTGCGTTAGCGGGCTAGCTCTTTGTGTGGCTAGCTCGATAGCTGAGGGATGTTTTGTTGTTGTTGAGCCCGAGCAGCCCTCCCGTCGTCTGGGGAGCGGAGCTTCGTCAGCCGTGTATGGGAGAAAAAAAAAAACAACACCTCCTCCTCGACGGCTTCTCCTCCGCTGACATTAGCCTCCTGAAACCATCTGTTCGTGTAAGCGACAGGGACAGAAAGAGGGAGAAGGAGGGAAGAGTTTGACCGAAGAGGAAGGAGATGGGAAACTGTCTGAAATCTCCGACCTCGGATGATATTTCTTTGCTTCATGAGTCTCAGTCGGACCGGGCCAGCTACGCAGACGGTGCTGACCCCGACCAGGAGCCACCGCCCCCATATCAGGTAACTTTCAACCCATCTCGCTAATGTGTTTGTCCCATGATCTGAAACAATCCATTAAAAAACCTGAAGTCATGTGTGACCCAGTGTGTCAGTCTTTTATTTTGGCAGGTGCATTATCCAGGAATGTGTTTGTCTCAGCAGTATGTGTGGCGCGATCAGCTGTTCACAGATCCAGCATCACCCTGCCCGCTGACCCTGTCCCGTCATGGCTTTGACACTAATCCTCTTTTGTTTTATCCCAAGGTCCTGACTGTGCCTGCCATTTCCCTGAAGTTATTATTATTATCATTTTTACTTTTACTTAAGATGACAGCATCACCGCTTGCTTTAGTTCCAATTCTGCACTGAGCCATGTTATTTTGGCTCCTGTTCAGTGGAGCTGAACTAAGACACAGGGACTCTCTGTTATGGCCTGTGGCTCACTTTAACAGCATGATCTGTAATTTGAATGGACTTGAGACAGACCCCTGGTTCTCCATTAAAGAGGGGAGTGTTTGTAGAAGCAACTGTTATTGCTGCTTCCCTTCACTGATCTCCTCGAGGTACAGCAGCAGCTGCTGTGTTTGTCTGGTGTCCTTATTTCCTGAATTAGATCATCCACAAACAGACCAGGTCATGTTGTACAACTGTAAAATATGATGTGTGGAGTTATCGCTTCACCTGTGTGTTCTTCTATGGCAAGAGACGGCTGCTATGTGTTATGTTAGGCCTTGGCAAAGAGTTGGCTTTTTACTAGGTTAAGCCAAGCCTTATCTGTAGATTTAAGATAGGTGCTTTTAAATGAATGGCAAACTGAAGGTGATCTCAGGTCAGTGAAGCATAAAAGCATAAAAGCTCTCATTACAGAGGAACTACATACTTCTGTATATTATACTGTGACCATAGTTTATTAAAATGTCTTAAACACAGATGATTGGTTTCCCCTTTGTAGATCTTACATTTAATCACCATCATTGGTGAAGTCATTGTCTTTCTTCATCACCTCTACCATGGAAGTTATGTTTCCACCCCTGTCCATTTGTTTATTTTGTGAGCAAGATTACACAAAAACTACTCAGTGGATTACCATGATACTTGGTGCAAGGATGTGGAATGAATCTGGGAAGACCCCTTTAAATTTCAGTATGGCTGTCCTTTGGATCCAGCAGTTTTTTTTGTGCAACCTTTAGCATTGCTAGATATGGTGTTTTCAACATTTGCACTTATTTCCCAAAGAATAATTCATGGACCTTAATGGAATATATCAGGCACATTTAGGGAAGCGATATCTATGAGTGTTTGTTGCAGCTTGATTGCTAAGGGGACAGTCATACGGTGAGATATCCACTTGACTGAGTGCCATTCTAGTCTTTGTGATTTTATTATCAGCACTGTTCCTTGAAAAGGCAACTGCCAAAAATGAATAGTAGTACTAACAATCCTAAATCTACTGAAGTTGTATAACAGAGTTTTATTGTGTAGACACTGATAAGATTGAAGATATTATTGATCTTTGGAAAGTACAGTAGTTATGTTTCATGTCATCATCACTGCACACACTCACAGTCTGTTCTCAGTCGTACATTCAGTTTTTTTTTATACGTTTGAGAAAAGTAATGCTGATAAATCATTGCAATGTCCTTAAACAGTTCATATTTACTTTTCGTATAATTTCCATGTGCTAGTTAGTTTTTTATGGTTAAACGTTTGCCATGGCTTACCAGTTAAAACAACAACCTGTTTTTTTACTTTTAGAGAAACTGATTTTTTTTTTAAAAAGCTAACAAATGAGGGGCATAGACTGGTGCTAGGTCAGTTCATAAAAACTTCCTGGAAACATTACTTAGACAAGAAAGGGTCAAGGTCATAACCATAATTTTTATTTATTATCAGTGGGGTGTTTTTCACAGAATCACTGCATCATTATTCAGTAAAAGATAACATCTGAGACTGAACATAGCAAGAAGTCCTTGACATGCATCCATGTCCGGGTTGATACGAGTGTGTCATGTCTGCTGTACAGCACTACAACAGTAATTAGGTCAAAGCCGCCAGCTCTGGTCTCACAGTGGAGAGATGGTGTAATAAACAACACAAACACTGTGTAGTCTTTTCAGCCGTGACCAAGCTTTCAGTTGTGTACATGAGCCGTTTGTTTATACTGGCAGTGCAGCACAAGCTGGTTAACTAACTAGTTAAAACCTTCTTATAAAGAGCTCTTTTAGACCTGCCAGCGCTTTTTTCCCCGGTGACAACAGTAATCAGCACCTTCACCAGCTGAACCCAGTCTGAGAACACAGCTCACATTTTTGTGTGCTCACAGTTCAGGCTTAATGAAGCTTTGGAGGAGCTGTTTGTGTTAGAAGTGGGACTAAAAGCTCCACTATATGCAAGAAGAAATTGAGATTGCTGTGTTCATTAAAGCTATTGGGTGTGGCCCTGGGTGCAAATGCCAGGATATGTACTGCAACTGCAGTTCTGTCCTTCACACCATGAGGGTCATGGTGAAAAACATGGTGCTGGAAATCACACCAGTGAAATCCAAAACAAAGACAATAATAAGCTCCAGTTCTGCCTTAAGTTTCAGAAAATGAATACAGAAGCAAGATGGCAATTTATAACTAACCCTGGTTTTGTTTTCACAGCCAATAAACACAGACAGGACAGGGTGGATATATAATTTTATCAAATTGTCTGGTAGCAAATGGGAATGAATAGGAATTATTCAACTCAAAT